AGCAGGATGTCTACATGAACTCCAGAGGCCCTTTCCAGGAAGTTTCAAGTTTTTCAGTAGGAAATGTTACACAAACAGACAAGACCCAACACTACATCTCAAGGAGAAATCTTTCTGAAAGATACCACCCCCCCATTGCAACTCAGTCATATTCTCTCAGAATCCCAAAACAATCTTTGTCATATAGCCAAAGAAAGTGTCCACTTCTTACAAAATAGCTCTATGATGACATTTCAGAGTGCAGGAAGTCCTCTTTCTAATAAAGAGGCATGACCATATCTTGGTCTGAACCCCCACACTGAATTAAACAAAAGTTTGGTTTTAGGTTACCCACTTCTCATATGAAGAATCTGGTTATTGGGTAAGCTTCCCATTTCCTAAGTTACCTTATACAGGACGCAATCAGCAGTCATGACTAAAGAACATCTACTCTGCTAGACACAAGGCCAAGACAGGAAGGGAAAATCTCATTGTAAATCCCATGGGAGTATAGTCATTAGCTATTACCATTCCGTGAGTGTCTAACAGTATGCAATACTGCTAAAATATGCATGCCAATACGTAGAAATGTAGGCACCGACAATTCATTTGAGTGTTTCCAGGGTCTGGGAGCAAGCAAATAAAGTTTGTTAGTTTCAAGTTTCTCATATCTGACCTGAATATTTAGAATGACATGAGAAAAGCCTTGGAACAAACATTGTTTTAGGCACACAATTATATCACGTCTTACTAAACATTACTTCTCCCAGAAACTTTGCCTGGGGCGCATAAAACTTCTTGGAAATCTAGCCTCTGTACCTAAACATCACTAAAAATTCTACAATGACTTTGAAGCAAAGAGGTCTGCTAATAAGCTAACAGCCAGACTGACTTCCCCCTTCAGCACTGTGCAAGAAAAAGCTTAAGGTAGAGGAAAGGGGCTGGTTAGTGTCATCCCTTCAGAACATCTTGCAACATGAGACCTGGACCAGAAAAAGGTATGAGGATCTGTGTTCTCTTTTGTTCCTGAAGGAGGCATACATTGTCCCAGTTGCAATAAAAAATAATTTAGGCAAACAGGAAGCATTTTCAACAGCCAAGGAACAACTAGCAGTGAACGCAGCAGAAATATAGCAGCCACAGGAAACTGATAAAGGTTCCAAGCCAGATATTTGCTTTGTCAAGCTGAGAGTTCTCACGAAAACACAGCTCTAATTTTGGCATAGTTTTCCCATTAATTGGTAGCAGCAGATTCATCACTACTGGACAGACAGATGAAAAAGCTCCATACCTACATGACAGTAAATATAGTTATACACTTCATACATCTAGAAGCAACTGGTCCGGATGCTTTGCAGTTGACTGTAAGAGCAACTAATGGGTTTTTTTGGTTTTTTTTTTTTTTTGGGGGGGGGGGGGACGCGGGGGGGGGATAAAGCGCAGGGGGGGAATCAAGGAAAGCCTTGCTAATCACATATTTACAAATACATACTGAAACTCTACTTAAAATGAAGATGTTATTTCCATACAGCTTCATCCAACCTTAATCCTGTCAAAGTATAGGATTTCTCATTCTGTTTTGCTAATCAGTGACAGATTTCCATATCTCTGATTCAGGCTGCTTCCAGTTTTCTCCCATTAGTCCTTTCAGGTTCAACTGTTTGAAAAATTCCAGGCGATGACTATAGAGAGAGAAGAAAAAAATTAAAAATAGTTATGGTCTTTGTAATATATGTCTTAATAAAAAAGAAATCTCCTCAGCAGGCTTGCTTAGTCTTTATTTTCTTGTTTTCTTGAAGAAAGACAGGACCAACAGTCTAAGTACTCACTTTCCAAAACCTGAGTTTGTAAATAAAGAACACTACAGCACTTCTGGAAATCTTGTATTAACACAAGGGAAAATCCTCAGCTATAAATAAGCACCACACAGTATAAAATGAAGTTATCAAACTTTTCATCTTTTTATCTCTCCCAACTTCTATGTTGCCACAAACTTCAATTAGAGTAAAAGCAAAAAAGTACTCTACTTTATGACTTATCTGTGCAGTATTAGAGTAGATGTCATTTACAACTCTTGAGCAATCAAAAGATGATATCCAAGAGATCCCCTCCTTACAGAAAGGAGAAAGGCAGGATAGGATAATGAAGTTAATAAACACCATCTTTTTCCCCCATAGACTAGAAGTCCTGTTTCCTTAAACATTATGAATCAGTTCTTGCTAAGAATTTCTCCTGTGGGCTACCACACAGGATCAATAGAAGACAGACTGATGTTGATTTCTAATTTATGTTTACATCAAACAATCGCCAACTGTAAATAAAACATTTGACACTAAACTAGTTCACTTAAAAAGGCAAAGGAAACTCTCTCTTACTGGGAAGTGTTAATTCTGAAGAGTGAAGACAAACCGAAAACAAAAGTTATAAGGAGTAACTTCTTCACATCAATGCGCCTCTAATTAATGTCTGAAAAAGTGACTTTTTTTGAAAGTCAAAGAATCCTTCCCTGGAAAAATATTACAGGCATTCTACAGTTTACTACACAAAGATAAAAGTATGTATTTCGCAAAGAACAAAGATAGAGAGAATATACTTAATTAACAGTAACTTAGAATTTGTTCAAATGAACAACTGCAGAAGCTAAGGATTTCCTGAATAAAGGAAAAAGTAATCTTTACCTCAATTTACCTTACTTTGCTCTCTTTGTATGTCGAGTAGCAAGTTTATGTAAGAACTATTGGCCCCTAGAGCCAGTTCACTTATACAAATACCCAGAAGCTGCGGTTTGTATCAACTCATCTCAGCCTCAGAGTCAAAGAAAACAAACAAGCCCAAAGCACAGTGTAAAGATCAAGACACTCTAGCTTTCTATTGGCATTATATTTTCCAATTTAGTCTGCACTTTCAAATTTTTTCTATAACATGGAGTCATCTCTAGAGGTGAGATTGTTTAGAACAGTAGGGGAGAAACCAAAGAGATTCACTGTAAATACATCTGGCAAGATTAACACCAAATGGCATTTCAGAAGGTGCCATAGGCAAGAAAAAAAGGGGAACAACCTGTCTATGATTTAGCTGAGGAAGGCGATAAAACAGATGCTTTTGGTGCTGAATGCATCATTTGCTATGCACCTAGGGGACAGTATAAACACCAGGCACTAAAAAAAAAGCTGTAGCAGATAGCTGTAACTAATGTCAAGTACTGTGCCAATGGATCTGGGGCTAGGCAATGTAACTCAAGCACTAGTGGCGCTCAATCAGAAAACAATATTAAATTCCTTTTTAAGTACTCCAAAAGTAGCGCAATTCTGCTACAGAAGAGCTAGTTTTATGCTTACAAGTCCGGTTTCTGTCCTTCTTGCAGTTCATGTTGAGGCACAGGATGAAGTGCTTCATATTTTCTCTCTGCTCCCGAGCCATGAATTGCAAATGCATTAAACTTGTTAGTGCATGGTGGAAAATAATTCCAAGGAAGAACAGCTTTACCCTCCCATTTGGTTTCCATTCTGGTCACCTCAAATTCTAAAGGAAGTTTTTCCTGTTAAAGGAGCAAGAGAAAGCTAATGTCATCTTCCAGCCAGGCAACAGGTATCTAACAGCAATTACTTTTCCCGTATGTTATATACTTTATCACTTACCTTCCATACTCTTCTTCTGCCAGAAAGAAGCAGCAACAAGTGTTGCCCATGGCTGTCAAAAAAAAAATCAGAGCCATGATTTTCTTAAACTGATGCCCAACTGATGCATACTGTTCTTCTACAAATACGTGCACGCTCCCTACATTGAGGCAACTTCTGTAGCCGCATTCACTCGTGTCATTCCTCATACATACATCTCGCAAGCATTAGAATTGATACTGGAAATTCAAACTAACATTTAAGACTTCTTCAAAGAGTGCTGTACTTACGGACAAAGTTCAACTTCTAAATACTGCTCGGTTCTGTCACTCAAGAAAAATGCTTCTACAACTTAAAAAAAGAGACGGGCCATCAGTACTTTATATTGCTTACCTATTTTGTAGCATCCCGAGATATCCATTCCCCACTAAAAGTATTATATTCTGTTTTCATAAAGAGGCTTGCCCATGCTATTCCAGAGTTTGACCAGTGTACATGTGATTGACAGCTTCCAAGCTGTTTCAAGCACTGTATGATAATCCAGTTTTTTGCAGCCTTCACTTAATGACTACTACCTTAAAGAGACATAAGACATGGTCTAATTTTATTTTACCTACGCCAGTTTTGGAGACACTCATTTTGATACAGCAGAAAAATGACAGTTCTGATAACTAATGTTAGCTGTCAATAGAGTAAGAATAGCACCAGCACATATCCATTTCACCTAGTCTGCTTCCTGTGAATGAAGCTGAGCAGAACAGAGTAATCCTAGTCAGTCATACTCACAGCAAACATCCCAGGTCAAGTACTTAACTGCAGGAGTCTGGTGCTCGGAATCCACAAGCCACCAAACAAGAGACAAGACAGAACTGAAAAGACACTCAGAGTAAGCTATAAGACAACTGTCGATGGAAAAAAAAAACTCATCGGATTCTCAGAAACAGTATGAGAGCATTTAGGTTTTAACTGGCTTTTCACTGCAGATGACATACTTTGGACTGGGAATTCCAGGCACACCTGGAAGCCAGGTGTGAATACTTAATCACCTTTCAGGAACACTAGGTAGAATTACAATAGTGATTCACACAGAAATGGCATTTTATCAGAAAGCTTTAGTTAGGGTTAAGTTTGTGCACTGTCAAGGTACACCAGAACATTTCCGAATATTCGTTCAAGGCAACAACCATGAAATTACTGGTTGCAGCAATAGAAAGGTATGATTTATATCTTGATTGTATTTTCCATGAGCCTATTCTGTATATTAAACATCAAAAAGGTCCTAATAACGTCCTGGTAGGACCTTAATTTTTCAGTAGTCAAGAACTAGAGAACTGCTGGAAGCATGAAAATCTTTCGTTATTCAAAGCAACAGTTAAAAATGAAAGTATCATCAGGAAAGAAGAGAAACACAACAGCACTACTGTAAGAATATTCCCCATTCCACTTCCGTACATTTTGAAACATTTTGAGTTTCACCTTTTGTTACACATCCTCCTATCTCTCATAAAGACTTTGGGAAAACAAGTGATCAAAATAGACAATGGTTTTAGCTATTGCTCTCTGCTTCTTAAAGAGAAAGCGGGACCTCTCTTTAGGATTTCATTTCTGTTTATTCATTCCAAAGGCATTTAAATATACATGGCACACAATTATTTTAATATTCAAAGACGTTAAGCCTCTGTTCTTCCAAAAGTTATATCAATAATCCAGAAACCAAGTTTGAGAGACCATACTATTGACAGGATCAGGAGGAGTCATTCTTACCACTCTTGAAATCAGCCCTAGTTCACTGTACTCTACCTCCTTGTATCCATTAAGTGACATCAATGCAATATATTTGCTTCTTTTCGCAGTCATTTGCATCATTATGCTACTATAAAACAATTGCTCCCCCTCTGCCTAGCTGTGCTTGTGGTGAAAGCAAATCATCTAGAAAAATACACTTTGGGGGAGTTTAATACAGCATAAAGTTTATGGTTATTTAAGGAGCTTTCTTAAGGGTAAGGCTGTGATTGAAAGTAAATTCTTTCCCAGAGCATTAAGGATATAGCAGAAAAGAAATTTTCACTTTACCTTTCAGTTCTGACCTTCAAAAGCATAGGTATTGTGGTCAAAGATCTGGAATTGAATTAGTAGATGTCATATGTTCACCACTTCAAGTTCCATGACAGTTATTCATTCAAATTCATTTCATTTTAATTAAGACTAGATGCATTAACCACAGAGGAACATTAGTGTCTACACAAGTCAGATATCCTTGCAGTGGAACAGTTGCACTTACCCTCATAGTCCCACAGTCCACTAAAGGGTTTCCCTGGCTCTCCAAGTGGTGCTGGAGGATCGTTAAAGAAGGGAGCACTAACTTCCATTAGCAGTCCTGCGTTGCCTGACTTCAGGCTGACCATTACTGGCTCGTGGCTCACAGGTATACCATCCCATGTGTGTTGAACTGTAAATTCCATTTTAATACTCTGCACAAGATAAATGAGAAAAGCTTTCAAAGATGATTCAAGATTGCATTTCAGCACCAACTGCACAGTTCGCTTGGCTAGGAAGAGGCCTTGCCAAATCAAGAGGCTGAAAAATAAGCTTTTATTAAGCATCAAACTACAAGACAGACCCAAAAGAAAGACTTGTTCTCAGTCCTATTTAGAGTCACGGAAGATATCTACTGGCATGAGTCACTGTTTTAAAACTGACTATTCTTTGGTTGAACTTCTCTGTAGAACAAGCAAAATGTTAGGAGCCAAGGACTTGTGCAGTGTTATCTGTATCCTCCACTCAAAGCTTGAGCATTTGGATAGCCAAACAAAACCCTGTCTCCCCCCTAACAGCACAGATCAGTTGTGTCTGCCTTTTACGCTACAAAAGCGGCTTCCATACATTGGGTCTGTAGTCTAGAGTGTCTATAGCTAGGGCTTCGACAGGAGCCCTACTGTGACACAGTCAGCACAGGCAGCATCCAAATATAGCCTGCTTCTAAAAATGGAGTCCTAGCCACCCACACCCTGACTTCACGTACTTGCCCCCATCCTCTGTACTGTTCTGGTCCACAACAGCCAAACAATTAAGACAGACTCAAAGAAAGACCAGAGGTAGAACTACTCTTAAATCCACCTACAGCCATCCTTCTATAATCCTAGGCAGTGAATCATCCCCACAGGGGCATCTTATTGTCCAAGTTGGTCCTAATACTCTGCATGACTCATCACTACCTTAAGAAACACGCTACAAAAAAAAAAATCAAGGGCAGAAACCACATGGGTCATTTCTGTCAATAAAGTACAGCTGTATCTATTGCTATAGAATAATTTTAAACAAGATAAGTTTAAACAACTGATGCCAGGATTTAAAGCACAGCAAAAAACAAAACATTGCTGTTAACACCCATGTAATTTAGTGTCAGGTGCTTTATTGTAAATCCTTTAACTATAAGGTTCACTTTTACAATTAGGACTTCATACGAAAGAGCTGAAGTAATTAAGTTGTATAAAATGACTAAATAAGCACACAACTGCATGCTTTTCAGCAGTTTTTATACCTGCATGGTTACAAATCATTTTTGGAAGTCCTGCCAAGCTTAAGGCATTCCAGCTGCATAATCGCAATAAATATCTTCACAAACTGTAAGATATATAACATATTAAATGATTGGGAAGTTTGAAAAAATAGTTGACAAAAGCCTTCCATGAATCTCAGACACAGGAAGATAAAATGATTAGCTAAAGCTTTCCTTAGTGGTCACTGCAGCCAACCAAACTCAAGAATTTAGGTCAAACTGCAAGCGCATCTTGTTAAACACACTTGGTTCCAGAGCAGTACAAACAGAACACTCCAATTCAACAGCTTTTGCGTCGAAGAAATAAAACTGTACAAGCCTTACCAATAGCCTCAACCTATTCCATGAACAAAAAGAACTAGCGTAGTCTTTGTTTCCAACAAACGCACATCCCCTATGCCTCCCCTCCTCAGTATTATGAGCTCCTTCCCATGTCCACAACAGCAGTTCTTGATTGGTTCCCATACATATCTGCCAGTCCTACAGGAAGGAAAGTGGCAGTACATATGCCGATAATCCTGATGGCTATCGCAGTGGCCAAGTTTAATTATCTTTTCTTCAGCGGGGAACCCTAGTTTCGGTCCATGATCCATGCCCTACCCAAACAACAGTTTTATTGAGACTCATAGGGCATTAAGCGTAAACTAAGCTAGTACACGTGGCAATTGTAATACAATTGACAGAATGTAACCACATAAATCTCACCTCCCTATACAGTCAGCCTTACTGTTACGACTACACTTCAAGTCTGCCACCCTCTGCTACAGTCCTGTTAGACAGTTCCCACTAACTGATGTTCATACTGAGAAGGACCAAACGTTTTTTATTTGAATTCAAGTTAGTAAAGTAACCAGTATGAGATCAGACATGTAGGTATATTCAAGAACAAGGAGATGCTGCAGTGATCAAAGGAACATGACAAAGGTTAAAGCAAATATGAAGCAATTCATTGTGTAACCAAAGTCATCTTAATTTGAAACATTCTGTGAAAAAAGAAAGTCAGATATTAGCTAATTAAACTGCCTTTAAGTCAGCATGATGAACTAGACAAGCATCAGGTGGGTTACATGCAAGACACCTGAGACAGCCCTAGAAACCGTGAAAGACTTCTCACTGTCATTAATGCTCATTCCAGATCAAGTGGCCAGTTTCTGGAAGCAAGATAATACATGCTGAAAGAAAACATTCAGTGACCTAAGGATGTAAAAGAAGTGACACCTAGTAGTGTCCTAACCATATTACATTAAGTTAGCAGAAACATACACACAAACTCAGTCCAGTCTTATTAATACCTTAAATCAAACAGGCAAAGCTAAATGATTCATGCAATAGAAAAAACAGTTAAGAGAAAGCATTCTAAACAAGTACAATGACAATTCTATCATAATTACAATGTACACCACCGAACAAACATGCAATATGCTAAAACAAAATCATCATACTGTCACAGCACAAACAGAGGCTTACACATATCCAATAGGCTATTTAATCATGAATTGATCTAGAAAACACTCATCTTCAGGAAGCATAGACATAAGTTGTGCAAAAGGTATATGCATAAATCCTACAGCTAGAATGTAAGCCTCGAACACTGAGCAGCAAGAGTACGAAGCTTCCACGGACAGCAAGATCTTTCCCAATCCTTGTTGAAACAAATGGAGAAATTCCTGTTAACTGTAAATGAGCTCTCTATATACTTTATGTGCGCTTACATTGAGGGGAAGCAAGGCACAAGGATACAAGCTTACTCTAATAGGCTCAGGGTACAAGACTGCATGCGTGCACCTCAGAACATAAAATAAGGTGTCATGATCCTGTTTTACACTATAAAAAAATAAATAATCATTAGGCAGCTCAAAGTCAACATTCCCTTGCTTTTACTCTATCTTTGTTGTGCTAACATATTTAACTCTCTGCATTCACTAGTCAAGACAAATCTGAAACACCTAGCTGAAAATACGAGAATACTGCCAGATTTCAACAGTTTTAAAGTTATACGGCCTTCTAAGAGAAATAGCCTGAGGGAATTTTAAAATCTGGCGAGAATTACATTAATAAGACTATGAACATCCCAAGTAGATGGCTACAGTTTGACTGAAGTAAGGAACACACACAAGATTCAAAGGTTGTCTCAGGAAACGGGTCATAACATAGCCAGCTTAAAAAAAAAGGCAGCAGAATAACATATCTTGCTAAACTATCTACCGTAACTATAGCATCTAGAGTGAAGTTACAGAAGATGGGACACAACACACTTAACAGTTTGCTGCTTGCACCTCTATGAGAGAGGGATGTCTTTTAGTTAGTTAAAAAAGATTAACTAGTTAGCTAAAAAACTAGTAAGATCAAGTAGTTAGCTTAACTAGTTAGTTAGAACAACATCAACTCCTGCAGACAACTTACAGTGTATGAAAGGGTCCATTTTGACAGGAAACCTAGCCTATTGCAAGCAAAGGTCACTTGTGAATGCAAGAACATGCAATTTCAAGAACCACAAAGTAATAAGGAAGACTACAAAACATTTATTAATTCTCGTTAGAGACCTGACTAGCATTAAAATAGGTTACGTAACATGTAGCGAGCTAAGATTTCCCAATTTTGCACAAGTCTTGATGAGAATACACACTACACTACATAGACTTTGGGAAGGTCATCACCAGCATCCTTTTGAATTATAATAAGAAGAGCAACAATAGCCTACAAGTCTTTTAAAACAGCAACAAGTGAAGCTCAATAATCTTCTAATATTGTATTTACCTAGCACACTCAGGCAAATATCAATATATTGTAAAGAGACGCAAACTCCCAGTGAAGAAGCTCTCTAGCAACTACTTTCTTAGCCATGTGAAAGTACAAATACTGCACAGCCTTGAGCTAGATAAAACAGCATCTGCCCTGCACACTTAGGTCTCAGCTACATCAGTGTTGTATCTTACAGTAACAAGTATGCTACTGCTGCTTGCAGCTGCAAACACCTCACTTCTCCAAGTGCCACAGCGCTTGAGGTCTTCCATCCTAAGCTCCATCTACATCGGCAACAAGGACAGGAGCAAGTAGGAAGTAATCACACCGGTGTTTTTCTTAATTGCTCCAACAGGACGGGGAAAAGCTGGAAGCCCTATGAGAGGCCGGAGCTTCGGCTATAGTTAGAATTACGTTATGAAAGGCAGACAGGAGTTCGCAGAAGACGTTACAGATCCCTCCCCCCGCCAACTTCTCCAGCCCCTAAGCGGAGGAGCAGCGCTTCCTGCAGAGAAGTTTAGCGCGGAAACTTCACAGCTCAACATAAACGCTTCCTAAAGCTGAACGCGGATTTCTTAGACCTCAAAAGGCAACGCCCCCCCC